GCCACTCAATGCCTCTTTTGCAAACCATAACACCCAAAAGGAGAGAGAGGACAAAAGGGAATGCCCTGCCACAGAGGCGGGGTGGAGTGAGGGGGGGTGGGGTGTGGGAGTGGGAGGGCTACTAGGATCATTGGTGGTGGAGAATGGGCACTGGTGGAGGGATGGGTACGCGATCATTGTATAACTGAAACCCAAGCACAAAAATTTGTAAGTCTACAACTGTACCTCATGGTGTTTCACTAATAAAAATTTTTAAAAAACTGCTTAAACATGAATACTTAGAAGAAGGTCCCAAAGATTACATCTAAAGGAAGAAACTTTTAAATCAAGGAGTGGGTACAAGTTGTATTCAGGACAGAGAAGCAGGAGCACGAAGTGGATGGCAACAAAGAGTGTGCGTACACATCGTGTTTGTAAGCAGCACGATGGCAGATTCTGCCATGTGAAATCTGCATTGAAAATCTTCACAATCTGCTATTAGTTTGTGTGTGTGTGTGTGTGTGTGTGTGTGTGTATTTCAAGAAATTGGGCAGGTTTTAAAGATTGTAATTTATCTGCAATTTTCCATACTTAATTAAAATTAAAATATTCCTTCAATGTTCCACACCATGAACTTCTGATACAATGCCGAGGGGTTTCACAGTTTACAAGTACACAAATAAAATTGTGTTTTCTGAGGCAACTGTGGAAAAGTGTAAAAGGGATCAAAGAACATATCAGCTGGGTCTGGAGTGATAGTAGAGCGGAGAAGGCACTTGCCTTACACACTACTGGACCAGATTTGATCCCCAGCATCCCATATGGTCCCCTGAACTCACCAGGATTGATCCTGAGTGCAGTGCCAGGAGTAAACCCTAAGCACCACCATATGTAGTCCAACATGTGTGCCCCTTCCCCCCTGCCCCCACAAATCCAAAAGGATCACCAGCTCACATTCCAAACCTCTCAGGAGATTTGATTTGGACATAATCTATCAACTTGGGCTTTAGAGAAACTTCAAGAAATAAAATATTTCGATGTTTTTCATAAATATCTTCCCTGGAAAGTTTCCTATGATAAACGTGAATCTGTGGGAAAATAAGGAGTTCCATGTCCCCACCTCTTTGGTTTCATTTAATAATAATGCTAAGATATTGGGAGCTATCCTCACAAGATATGTCTCTGATAACTTTGATGAAACAAGTATGACTATGCTCTGCCTACACTAGACACACCTAATATGGAAGACTCCTCAGAAACCCTTTCTTTCTGAAAAAGCAAAAAAGAACTGGTCAAGTGTCCATTAGCCTTTTGGATGTCTTTTCCAACTCCTTTTCCCCCTGATGTCTTACTTCTGAGACCCAGGGAGATAATAAAAGATGAAATGGGATTCCCTAAAGCACCTGCCTCCCACTGGGTGGTTAGAAACAGAAAATGGACATTTCAACTGATGCCTTAGGAATCACTTGTGACCCTTTTTACAATTTATGTTTCAATATCTGGCAATTTAGAGAGTCTAGTATGAGTGAAACAGTACAGGATTGGAATTTTAAAAATGTGACTTTGGAGAAAGGCTCTCTCATTCATCAGTGTTGTGATGATGAGGTAGGAAAGTAGTCACTTAACATTACCACTGTTTTATTGAAAGCAACTTGTGATCTAATTGCAACTAATCATAGATGCCCTCCCCACTCTAACCTGTCAACACACACACACACACACACACACACACACACACATACACATACAGAGTCATGGTAGATAAGAGGTCTAGATGCTCTGGCCCATAATTAATTGCCATGAACTGTGATGTGAACTTGGAGTTTCCACAGAGAAGAGGACTAGAGACAAAGTGAAAGAAAGAAAAAGAAAAAAGAATGAAGAAGAAAGAAGCAAAATTATGAGGCTATTAATATTTCCTTTTATGTCTGTGTCCAATACTGAAGCATAGAAAGGAATAATAAGACTTCAGGTTAACAGCAGGGGAGTGGGAAGAGGTAGATAAATGGAAATAAAGTGAAAAACTGGATGGTGAATAATAAAATTGGTAATAAACTTAGTGTCTCCATGTGTTTGCATGTTGGTTTTAAATGATGCTCTGAAACCCAAATGTCACAACATAATGTTACTTCAGTAAACATTAAGTTTTAGTCATAGAAACCCTCTATTGTTGCCTCAATGCTGGATATTATAAATTGACCAATTTCTGTCTTTAGTCCAAGTTTTGTCTGTCATTTGTAGGGAAGGGGTTAGAAATATAAATTACCTTTTTTTTTTTACAAGATCCTGACTTAAGTCTGAAACGTCATCAGAAAATTTGTTTTGGGTAGAAGGACTCAATTTGATCACATGGTGAGTGGGGGCAGAGTGAGAGCACAGTGGGTGGTACTTGCATGCAGCTATCCTGGGTTTGATCCCTTGCGTCCCTATATGGTCTCCCAAATTACTGCCACGAGTGATTCCTGAGTGAAGAGCCAGGAGTAACTCCTGAACCTCCAGGTGTGACCCCAAACCAAAAACAAACAAATGAATAAATAAATAAATAAATCTGCATGAGATAATCTTTTAAAAAGCAAAACATTGTTTGACTAAAACTTAATTATGAACAACTCTGTAACTTTGTCTCTAATGGTGATTCAATAAATTAAAAAAAAATCATGTAAATAGTACTAAAAGTTTGGTAGTGGGTATGCAGCTGAGGGGTGAAGCTATCTTCTTGAAACCACTGTAAATTAATGGAAAATGAATATGATTTTAAGTTAAAAAGAAGAGAATGCTTTAATAAGTGTGGGGATTTGAAATACCAATAATTTCACCACCAACAGATATGCAAACATAAATTCTGCAAGAGAGTTCTGTTCTAGGTCACCCATGCCTATGGGAATAGGCTTAGTTTGCTCATACCACACCTGGTCCAAGAGTGATTACTCCTTTACAGGTGCTCCTTTGGGATGACCTCATTATCCATACAACTTCTTACGACACTCTTTCTGCATTCTGTTTTTTCTAAAATTCCTAAAGCCTCCTTTGTACCATGCATTTTTCAGCAAATAAGGTGGTTCTATTAGTCAGCCCATGAAGATTTGCCTTCCTTATGCTATTTACCAAAACAACAGGTGAAGGTGTTCACTGTGGGGATGGAGTATAATGTCATCCCTCGAGACGTCTGTGCCAACTATTGCATAAGGCCCACTCACATGCCAGACTCAGAGTCATGACATTCAGTCACACTATCCACCCACACCCACTTCTTACTACTGTTACCTCCTGGCCTTCTTACTATCGTTACCTCCTGGCCTTTTGCCTCTCTCTTCCTTACTCAAGAAAGTGCTGTCACCTGGCTTAGTCTTCACCTCCATACTGCCACCTGCATCCTGATGATACCAGAATCCAGGTACCACTGACACTTTACTGTTGGGACTTTCTCATTAAGACCTCAGCTTCCTACCCCTATACTAATACCCAAGCAGATCCATTGCAAAAGTCACTGATTCAAATGTCTTTTTCACAAAAACTTCTGTTATAAGTTTATATGACCACACAGTGACATGTCTTCGACTTTTTCAACAGCTTCCAGATCACAGTTTCTTAGCCAGGAGCCATATTTACCCCACCACCCTTGTTGGTTCCCAGGATATTCCAAGGAGTCACAGGTGGAAATTGTGTAAATGGGTAATACAGCATCAGATTAGGGGACCAGCTGGAAGGATGGGAGTGTCACAGGATAAAAAAAAATTGGAAGGGGCCCCAGAGATAGAGGTTGAGAAACACTGATAAAGAGGACTAATGTTCTATTTTCTTCCCACATATCCACAGGTCTCTTCTATCTTCATTTCCTCCATTTTTTGGAATAGTCTGTAATTTTCATTCCTACATATTCGATGTCTTGAATTCCATCATCCTCTTACCTCTTCCCAACTCCTGAAAAACCTCCATGCCAGGAAGAAGCACCATTATTTTTCTCATGTCTACATATAGACAGTTGAGTGTGGCTGAGGTAAACACAATGAGACTATCAGAAGTATGAAAAATTATTTAGTTTTTTTCTACAATAGTCTCAATATTACTATTTTAGACCGAAAGTTCTACTATATCACCAAAGTGTCAAGATTTCTCCACCACTGACCCAATGTTCCCACCCCTATCCTCTTTTGCATCACCGAATCATAGTTCTTCTGTTCAGATCTCAGGGTTAGAAGTATGCAAACTGATTATTAAGAACCAGAACCCAGCTCCAAAGCCTCTGTCTTCAACCTCTGCAATGTCTATTTCAAACTTAATCTTTAACTTCAAACTCTTGATATCAGCATTCCTTACTCCCAAATTTACTAAGGAATGGATGGCTAAGATGAACCCTTTGGCATCTTTCACTCCCAAACATATTCTCACCTACTCTTAGAAGACTCTTCCTTCCCACTGCTGCCAGAAAGCTCTTATTCCTTCTGCTGTGCAGACACGAACGGATTTCCAAGGATTCCAATTTCAATTCCAATTCCACTGAGAATTCTAAGGAACACACTCCCTTATCAAACTCATTCATTTCCAAGGGCTCAATGTATCAGGGAAACACAAGAGGAGTGTCTCTGAATTACCACACCATTATTTCCTTCCCCAGGAGGCCACCAATCCCCCTTCTACATTATAAATTAAAACAAAACAAAAGCTTTCATCAGCCTGCTTTTATTTCTTGCTTTCTAAGAAGCGTTCTCCAAACTCAAGAGTTAACAAGACATCCCCTTGTATTAGAAGCCAGATTGACCCTGGTGTGGCCTCTATCTGACCAATTCCTACTTCTAACACATGCATGTGGAGTGAATGGAGGAAAGCGGGAGACCAGCAGAGAATGAGGCCCTTCTCCTCTCCATGAAGCTCACCAAGCATCCCTATGCATATTGTCACTTCCATCATCTCTTCCCTGAGGTCATACTCTGTGCTGACCATTCCCTCAATGCGGTCTGGGGGATGGGAGTGGTGAGAGGTGACCCCCAGATAAGACCTGCGGAGTACCCAGGGCCACACACCTTGTTTGCTGGCAGACACAGCAGATCCAGATCTTCTCCTGCTTCTGGTAGGAGCAGCAGCTCTTGCAGACGTTGAACTTACAGTCCCCGCAGCGGCGTTTGGTGTTGACAAGGAAGGTGAAGGGCGAGCAGCAGCGCATGCAGCAGTGCTCCACGAACTTCTGGTGCTTCGATAAGATGCTGCACTTGCTGCCTTCCTCATCCAGCTTCTGCTTCATCTCACTGAGAATCACAGCAAGAGAGGAGAAAGAGCGTGTTAGGTGGGGGCAGGGGGTGGGGGTGGGGGAATATGGCTGCTATGTAGGCTCTTCCCATAAAAACATAGGACTCTGAGAGATCAATTGCTTGACATAATATCCTGAGAGTAATCATCACGGTGGATTAATTGTGGGGCATAGCTGCATGTCATCTTTCTAGGCGACAGCCTGAAAGACCATAGTTTATATTTCAGACATCAGATGGAGATATGAGTTATCATTCAACTAAGCAATCCTTAAAGAATCAAAATTTAACGCCTTTCAAAAGGAGCTGGAGATCATTTATTGATGGTAAAACATTAATTCTCCCAACAGCTCTCTTGGGAATATGATAAATGCAGTCCTGGCCCTACTTAACATCCCTGGAAACCAAAGAGCCCAGCGATTCTAAAAGCTTTCCAATCAATGTGAGTCAATAAAGATTCTCTGGGTGATGGGCAAATCCTAAGCACTTGGAGATTCCGGGTTGGATAAAAGATAATCAATCCCCTTCTTCCAAAGAGCTCCTGGGCTTGCTCCGCACAGACCCAAATGGTTGAACACAAAAACTGACCTTGCACACACACACACACACACACACACACACACACACACACACACACACTGCTTTCTGCACTCAGGGAGAAGGAAATGAGAAGCCCTGGAGGCAAGTGTAAACCCCAAACAGATGGAGTCACCCTGGAAAACACTACATTAGTCAAACTGGGCAAATTTGGGTTTCTTCTGCCATAAAATGGAGGCCTGGGGCCTGAGAGATCATTGAGAGGTTAGTGGACAGGTCTACTAGTGCAGGGTTTGAACTCTGCACTACACAGATTCCTGAGCTTTACCAAATGCAGTCCTGAAGCATCCCAGCATTGCTGGATAAGGCCCTGGAAGCCCCTCAGTGTTGCCAGGCTGACTCTGATGGTCTCCAGAACTGCAGGAACTGAGCAGAATCACATTATCAGGTTACTAGCACTGAGCTATTTGCTTCACTGGCTGAGTGCCCATGGGAGTGGCCCCAGAGACTCCTGAACACAGCTTGAGAGAGCATCCCCCTCACATTCCCCAAGCAAAAGGACCACAAAGAGTAGTAGAAATCGAATATATTTTTCCGTGCCCAGTTTGAAATTGTGCAGTTCACTGTGGATGTCTCTGAGGTGTATGCAGCAAATATTTATTCCTATCTTGCATTAGCCTTTGCAGTTCTGCTTAATGGTGTCTTTCATCATTTGGAAGAATTTGATTTTCCTGTAGTCAAAGCTACTAGTTTTAGATCTTGCTTAAGAAGCCCTATCCTATTCCATCAATTTAAACACATATTTATGCTAATCTTCTACGCATTGTTCTAGCTTTAGTGTATGTGCTGCCAAACTGAGCATTTATATATTCAAATTCATATGTAAATCAAATAGCCCTGATAATGGGTGGACTGGTGCTCTACCCCTACCCCACTCCAAAAAAAATGAGGTGTGTTCACATTTTATTTCACTGTAATCTGAAATTTTAACATATTTTGGGGGAAAAGAGTCCTTCTCCAAGGGATGTAATAATCATTCTGGATTATTTTGGTGGACCTAACCCCAGTTCAAGTGTACTTATAGGAGGAGAAGATAGTGACCAGTGTAAGGCAAGCTGGATTTCCAGGGCTGCCAGAAGCTGGGAGAGTATAGAACAGACACTCCCAAGAGCTGTGGGCGCAGATATAGTTCAGTCAACACCTCAAGTTTGCCATTTGGCCCCCAGAACTATGAAATAAGACATTTCTGCTGCTTTTATTTTTAAGCTTAAAATTTTATTTTACTTTAGGTCCTGATTTGCAATACTATTAATGGCAAGGTTTCATGCATAAAATACTACAGCACCACACTCTCCACCAGTGTTATCCACTTCTCTCCATCATTGTCCCAGTGTCTGCCTCCCTATTCCTAGCTCCTTAAACTCAACTTTTAAGTGACCTACTACTTTGTGGTTATTTATTTTGCCTGCCCCCAAAAATGTACATATAAAAGCAAGACAGCAAAATAAACAAATAGATCAGGCTCAAGTTTAAAATATTTTATAAAAAAATAACTAAAGAACAAAATTAAAAAATGGGCAAAAGCTCTGAATAAACATTGCTCCCAAGAAAACAAATAAGCATAAGCATATGAAAACATGCTCAATATCCCTTATTATTAGGGAAAACAAGTCAAAAGCACAAGGAGGTATTACCTCATACCCATGAAAACAGTCTCGGTCTCTGTTGAAATAACTAGAGTAAGCAAGAGTAGGTGAGAGGATGGGGGGAAAAGAAAATGATATGTTGTTGGTGAGAAAGTAAACTGGTTTTCACCTTTATTGAAAGCTACATGGAGATTTTTTTGAAAACTAAAAATGGTTTGAGGGAATCAACATAAAAGTCAATTCACTGATGACTGGATAAAGAAATTGTAGGGAAAAGTTACTCAGTGACTCAACAAGATGAAGCTACAACCTTTCACAACACAATGGATGGAACTTGAGGTAATTAAGCTACATAAAATAAGTCAGGAAGTGAAAGGTAATTACCAGATGATTTCACTCATGTAAAGTATAAACAACCAAAATAAACTGGTAAAACACAGTAACAAAACCCTTTAGACTGTGAAAGTGATGGAGGGAAAGGGGGGGTGTTCACCAGGAGTGGACAGAGGGGCACAGATTCATAGAGTGGCAGTGGCGGAAGGTGGGGGGGGGTGTAAGAACTTGGGCGGTAGTTGTGGTAAAGGAGTAAACTTGGACAAGTGAACTTTTATTTATTTATTTTTAATTTTTTTTTTGCTGTGTTGCTAGTATTTGGGAATTTATTGGCTCTGAGATAGATCTTGGGCATCTTAAAGTAGACTATAGACCAAACATGATTGCCACTCAATGCCTCTTTTTCAAACCACAACACCCAAAAGGAGAGAGAGAACAAAAGGGAATGCCCTGCCACAGAGGCAGGGTGGAATGGGGGGATGGGTGTGGGAGGGATACTGGGATCAGTGGTGGTGGAAAGTAGGCACTGGGTATTTGATCATTGTATAATTGAAATCCAAGCACAAAAATTTGTAAGTCTACAACTGTACCTCATGGTGTTTCACTAATAAAAAAAAAGAAGAAGAAACCAAGTGAACTTTTAAAGTATCATAAGGAAATGGCTAATAAAATTAAAAATAAATGAACGGAACAAAACATTACACTAAAAAAAGCTCCCCTCGCTACTGTGTTACTACTAGTTACTACTCTATAGTGCTTCTAATATCTTGCAGCTCAACAATCTCCAGTGGTTAGTCTATGGTCCTTCCTTTCACTTACTCCTGGGTCTAGCAATTCTGTTTTAATCCCTTTTCTTGAAAGGACATAGAAGTTCTGCTCAAGTTCTCTCCCTGAACTTCTTGCTGCTAAATCCAAAGGCCTTTTAAATTGTCTACATCTTTACTTGACAATTCAAATTTAACTGTTTACATCTTTACATGGGCTGGAGCGATAGCACAGCGGGTAGGGCATTTGCCTTGCACGTGGCCCACCCAGCCGACCCGAGTTCAATTCCTTCGCCCCTCTCAGAGAGTCCGACAAGCTACTGAGAATATCTTGCCCGCACGGCAAAGCCTGGCAAGCTCCCCATGACGTATTCAATATGCCAAAAACAGTAACAAGTCTCACAATAGAGACATTACTGGGCCCGCTCAAGCAAATCGATGAACAAGGGGAGGACAGTGCTACATACTTTCATGACAATTCAAAATGTATTTGTAGCTTTGTCTTTCAGATACTCTGAACTGGTACATGTATCTTCCAGTATGTGAGCACGTTCACTGTTCTGCATGGCAGTGCCCAATACTTACCTGCTGCTTGAGCAACAAAGGGATGCTGAACCAAGGAAAGGAAGAGAAGACTGCATCAGGCCAGTGAGTAATTCTACAAGGTCAATATCAAATGCGTGTACTTGGCTGAATGAACTAGTTATAGAGAAACAGGACAGAGGCCTCCCCATACCCATGAAGGTAGGAAGATGCTGTTATCCGTTCTCTTAGGTTTAAAGCAGAAGATCCAGCTAAGATGTCAACAGCTCAGACATCTGTATGCAGTAGAGGAGATTCAGAAATTGACTGGCTTCTATTGATATTTTAGAGACACTAAATTAAATGTAATAAAACATCTAGGAAAAAAAGTCTTTGGGGATCAAATGAGCTCAGTGAACTCAATCTATAGGATCACTTAAACTTTATTGGTTTTGTTCCCTGATATACAAAACTGAGAATTTCAGTGGCACTTAAAATTTTACTGGATATCTATTAATAAAACTGTACCAAAATCCCTGCTGAGTTTATTGCAAGGAATGTGGTGCTTGGAACCATAGGCTCAGGGAAGAAACAGATGCTCTAAATTTAAAAAAAAAAGAAAAAAGAAAATGAAACTTCTTTTTCTAGCCAGGTACTGTGTTGGTACTTAATAGACATTATTTCATTTGATTGTCACCATACTTATTTAAAGCAGGTGCTATGATTATTTTTATTTCCAAAGTATCTCTTTTATTTATTTAAAATATATTCTGAAATATTGCAGTCTAAAATAGTCTAAAAGATTGTACATTTCAGGGATAAAGGTTAATAACTGTGTACACAGAATTGATCACACCTACCACCATTCAAAGTTTCAATGTCATCCCCACCAAAATGATCCTTCTATTAATTTCTTCCACCAATCAACTTCCTCTGATAAACACTAGAGATTTTATGGAATCTAGAAGTTAATTTTGTCATTGCTGTTTTGTGTTAGCTATTTGCTTATTTATATTCTCTATCTGTGTGAAATCAGCCAGCAACTGAGTTTCATTTTCTTTTTTATTTTACTTTGCATAATCATCCCAAGATACATCCACAAAGTGACCTTCTTCTGAACCATTACTTATTAGAATTCTCATGGAAAAATTCACTACATAAATTCACTCTACTAGAAATAAAATTGTTTAGTAGAGTC